AAAAAAAAAAAATAGCTATGCATGGCTTTGGTTCAATAATATCATATCTTTCCCTGGAGTTCTCAAATCTTTTGTGTAGCAGCAACTTCCTGTCACAGTAGAGTATGTGGACGGGAAACAGAAAGGAGTGGAATAGGGATAGTGGATAGGAAAGGCAACGGGAAGGAAGTACTCAGTTCTTCCTTCTTGTTTTTGTTTGAATCTTGAACCTGGTTGAAGCCAGGAGCTTACCTTCCACTGTGAATGATCTGGTTGCCGTCACAACGTAAGTGGTTCCATTCTCAGTGTGCGTGAATTTACACGTGTAATCTCCTTCATCATCCTGCCTCACGTTGTTAATGAACAAGTATGCTCCATGCGCCCTGTACCTCGGGCCTTGCAGGGCTCTGCAGTTCTGAGGCAATGACAAGAAAAACAGTCCACTCCTCTTCCCCTGACCTTTTCACTTTCAACTACATCGATTGTGCAAATTCTGTATTTTCTCCCCAAATTTCAAACTTTTACCTTAAACCACTGAACAGGTGCTGTCCTGTTATAGAGTCTAATCGTTGGACAAGTTATCTTGGAGTTTTTTTCTGATCCAGCTACTGTTGAGTACATCAAATAATCGGGAATGTTGCAGTCTGGTGGCTGTCTGTGTATGGTGACATTCATGTATCCAGTCGTATTCAAGTTGGGACTATTGAAAGAAGGCAAACATTTAGAAAGGAATACTTACTACCGTGAGATAGTTTCATCCAACCCTATCCCTTGCACAATCTTGCTCGGGCCAAAAATGATGTATACAGTTCTTCTCTTACTGAAAAGTAATCATTAAAATCTCGAGCCTTCAAAGACTTCTTTTGTTACCCTTGAGATGAAGCAAAGCTCTGGAAACAGCTTCACCAGGTCCTCATGCGTCACACCTACTGTAACTCTGGGATCCTAACTCAAATATATGTTAGTGTTTCTTGAACCACATGCAGAGTTAAGCTTCATGGATTTCATCATGTTATTCTTATAGCAATGTTTTTGGGATCATACTGATACAACTGTATGAATTTTAGAGATGAGACCCTGAGAGACAGGGAAGTCACATGGTGGCACCACACAACAAACTGGGATAAGGGCATAGACTGGAAACTGTAGTCTCTAAGCCGAGGCATCAAACTATACCTAGGCTATTCTGACACTGTGTGGGTACCAAAGATAGTGTGAAATCTAAGCATGGGGCAATTACAGTTCAGACTGAGGGATTTACCTAGACCCTGGGTCTCTGCAGTCTACCTCTTTGTCTTGGGATCTGGCATCTACACCTTTTCACCCAACACAGATATTTGTGATGCCAAATGTCTGGGCTTCCTTCCATTTGTTATGTTAGTTTGTTCTTACTCCCAGACAACAGTCAGTGATTATTCATTGTTCTTGGGTCACTAGAAAAGCCAGGCCTTTTTCTAATTAGGTTATATACATATATATGCCCTGGCTGTGGTATATTCAATAGCTCATCATCCGTCAGGCTGCTGGTCTTCTCAGGTGTACTTTCTTGTTCAAATCACTTTATAGATTTAACCATTCCACTGAGGGGCAGAGCAGAGAGAAAGCAAGGACAGCTGGGCTGTCAATCATTAATGAAAAAGGAGCAGGCACAAGGCTGATAATGGTTTCCTGCACAATACCTTCTGATAATGCAAGCATAAATCCCAGAGTCCTCCACTCTGGCTGGTAGGAACTTCAGACGATCTCTTGAGACAAAGATCCGATTCCTTTTTTGAGTAGGAATACTTTCATTTGTATTTAAGTAATACCATTCCACGGGATAAAGGGAACCGCTGCTTGCGGGGCATCTCATAATTAAAGCCTCATTTTCCAGACCCCAGAATGGTTTACCTACAGATAAAGTATGAACATGATCCTGAAGTGACCGTGTGAAAAGACCACAGTTCCTTTATCCAACTTAATGCTTTCATTCATGATTAGATTATTAAATAGATCATCTGTTGTGATGCTTCGAGAAATAATAAGTCAACAATTAAAAGCCTTTACTAAATGTGCTACATGGTACAATAAACTAAGGAATCAATTTCAGGTTATGTTCCCTTTTGTTCCCAGAAGAAAGCATCTATATGTACCTGATCATATTGTCAGTCAATAAATGCCCATAATGCCTCCCACAAGCAGGTACTGTGTTAAATCTTGATTTATGTAACTCAAATATTACGACCCACTCACCATAGGGAATTCCTTCTGAGAGATTTATGATAAATACTGAATGAAGAGGAAATCACTTTGGAGCACACAATTCAGCCCCAAATGACCTAAGGCAAGCAACTGAAATGCAGCAAATGTGCCCAGAATTACTTAAGTTCAAAAACGTACAACTTCTCTGAGAATCAGTACTTACTGCTCTTTGTCACTGTGAAATACGTGGGAACTGTCAGGATCGCCAACGCCCAAAGCCCCATTCTCCGTTTCTCAGTCGCGGGCTGGTGACTGATGGCGGAGGTCCCTCGGACGGGTCAGTGACACAGAATGGAAATGCTGTCTTCACGGCGGGTTTGGTGAGTGTTGTCTGAGTTAGGGTCCAGAAGAGAAGTCAGCGTAGCTACTGAAAAGAAATCATATACAGCCACAGTAAAATATTTATCTTGCCCTGTTTTTTTACTTACTTAAGACCATAAAGGAGAATCAATTAACAGATATTTGTTAAGTTCACTTATGAATACGAGTAGGTTTCAGGTATATGGTGTTACATTTATTCCTACTGAACTTGGAACAAGAGAGCAGATTATTTCACAATTGTATCTTACCAGTCTCTTGAGCATTCCCAGAAAGAAGCTAAATTAAGAGGAAAGAAAACAAATTTTTACATTTGAAAAAAATCAGAACCATAAGATTGAGTAGCTGCTAGAAAACACAGCGTTATGCAAAACCACAGGCATGTAGCAGGCTGGAGGCAAGGTGCACACGTCTGTTGTTTTACACTTCAGTACACACAGATAGCCATCACCAAAGCATGAAGAAAGGAAAACTTCAGTCAAAAAGCCATCCAAGACTGTCCTCCAAAACTCTGAAAAACTTGTCACTGGCCCAGCTTGTTCTGGAGCCCCAGAGGTTTGCTGGAGGTCTAAAAACAGCAATTAAACCCCTTGCTTTTGCTTTTGGACAAAAGAATCGATTAATGTAGCTTTTCTCTTCAGACACCAGGAGAGGGATACAGGTAGGAATAAATATGAGAATCTTCAGTAATTTCCAAAGAACACATTTCTTTCAATAGCAGGACCCTTTTTCTTTTACAGACTTCAGATAGTTATCAATCCTTACCCCAAATGAAGGGCTGGGGAGAGTGAGTTCAGGGCACTGAGACTACCTCCCAGCCCTTGGAGCTCTGCTGTCTTGTTTCTGTAGAGAACCCATGTAGACACACTCCCTCTTTCATTTTTAAATACACCAGCATCTTGTAATTTTCTACCCCACCCACCATGAAATTTGAATTACAGCCAAAATCCATGACTTGTCCAAAACTGCTGCTGTATCACTCACTAAGAATTCTTAAACTTACCACATAAATATTTAACTGTAAGGACATTTATAATCCATTTCAGGAGAACTGCTTGAATTACTTCCCCCTGTTTTAGCTAGCATGGTCGTTCCAGATGAGATAAACAATGCTGTTTCTTTCCTTGATGTCTCAACATTCAGTCCAAATGACACACACACACACCAGACTGTCCTTCACATACTCCCTGACATGACCTCTGTCTGACACCAGTCAGGGGGGCACAGTCAGCTTTTGTGGTGTGGGCAATTTCACAAACCACCACAGGTGACAGGTAGGGGAGGGCAGGGGCGGGAGGTAAGCCCTGAGATGAAGGAGGACTTCATGCTTCATGGGTGCTTAGAAACGTTCTCTAAGAGCCGGGCAGTGGTAGCACATGCCTTTAATTCCAGCACTTGGGAGGCAGTGGAAGATAGATCTCTGTGAGCTTGAGGCTAGCCTGGTCTACAAAATAAGTTCCAGGACAGCCGGGGCTCTTACACACAGAGAAACTTTGTCTTGAAGAAAGAAAGAAAGAAAGAAAGAAAGAAAGAAAGAAAGAAAGAAAGAAAGAAAGAAAGAAAGAAAG